TGTTACATAATGTAAGTAATAAATTTAAACACTAATTATCACGACTATTGTGCTGTGTCGGCGTCGCGTGCTGCGCGGTGTCAGGTATCCGGCCGCGGAATCGCCGGAAAACAACACCTTTCGGCCAAAACTCTGGTGTCATGAATTTTGGTAAATCCACGGAAGGCACTCTCACCACAAATTAATTGAAATTCACGCTGTGGTGGGATTCTAATTTCAAAACCCTTAGAGTGTAATTCGTTTTAATCTGAATATACCTCTACTCTACAATCTCCTCGACCTTTGTAGAGTAATGCAGCCTGGACACGTACAGCAGCGTCACTGGTACAGCTGGACGCAGCAAATGTTTCGGCCCGGTCGGTGCAGTGCCGCACTTGTTTTGGGATGACTTCTTTTTCTTCCTTTGAACAGTGCTAAAGCCATTTCTATCGACTAGCTGATACTGATATTTGCAGACTCAAAACTGCCGATTGTGGTGTTTTGGGCTCCGCGACGTGTGTTGACCTTTGAGGCCTCAGGTGACCTAATTACTTAACCTGTATTACGCAGTGATGTAATTTCGGCACGTAGATCAGCAATGATATTGTCTGACTCCTCCATTCTGGCCTGCATCTTGGTCACCTCACCTTTCAGTGATGTAATGTCCTTTAGCAGTCTCGTAACATCAACGTGATCGAAGGTGACAGGGGGTAGTTTACTTAGCTCCCTCGCCACGAAGTCAGGCACGTCATCTGGATCGGTTTTCTTCAACATATCGATGATATCTTGGAGACTCTTCTCGGTGCCCTCTCTGCGACGAGACGGCATTTGGTCTAGTTTTCCCAGGGACTGGAACAGTAACAGGTTGGCGCTGCTGACTTCCTCCTCCTTGTAATTGGATCGGCATATTTGCAGTATGCTCACCTCATCCATGTAGCCAATGGCATGGACTAAAAACGCCAGTAGTTCGTTCACTATGAGCGGTTTGGAACTCTTAGTGTCACCGTGCAGCGGCTGTTGCCGCGCAAGTCGTGAATAGAAATTCAAACCGTGTGCAGTGGAGACACGTCCGTAGCCGAGCGAGTATCGCACTGCACTCATATAGAGGTAATGAGTACCTGGATGCTACATAATACATATTAAATTATTAATAAAATGTAGCATTACTTTTGTGTCAACAAAATATCCAGATTAATAAATACTTCAGTTTAGAATGCATTAGAAATTTTTAGTAAATACATCGTAGTCGTTTGTTCTCCTATTCTTTTTGTATCACTTTTTACACTGCAGTTTCAAAACATCAACAAGTGATTGTATGCCAATAACATCCAAAGTCAAAAAGTCAAAGTCAAAAAGTCAAAGTCAAAAAAGTAAAAGTCAAAGAAAAAAGATTTATTTCAATTAGATCAGGAAGGCACTTTTGAACGTCACAACAAAATATTTAAATATTAAATAATAAGAAAAAAAATGTCAGTCTGTAGGTCAGTCCTCTAGTGAAGCTATTTGCTCGTTCCAAAGTGTAGATTCCTATGGAGAAGAACGAGCAAGAAACTCCATAGGTTACTCTTTTTCAATCATGTTCACAATACAATTACATTACATTACTTAGCCAATGACGGTGTAATCTAATGACCATGACCGAGTTGCGTCTATATGAAGACTGCTTCTTACCTTTCGGTACATTTTTATAATTTATTTGCTTAAGGATAAAAGAAGTATGTGCGGTATTTATCAACCGCCTTTACAACGTTCAATGTTGGTGGTGTACTGGAAAACCCGGATACCAGCTTTCGAGAACATATATGACTATGACATACTGTGACTTCCTGTCTATACAATGTGAGCAAGATATATTTTCAGACGATGGTAAGTTTTTTATTATTAGTTGGTTTTTAGCTTGGTATGTTTGTTCCTTTGGGTCAACTTTAGTGATTGCAATTTCACCCTCTTTCTGACAACATATCTGTCATATATTTGGTACACGCTCTTATTCTAAGTAGATGACCATCCAATATAATCAATTTTAATTCCATCTACCTCTATTAGTCTATTGTGCGTAAAAAGAGAGAAAAGAGCTCACTGAAGCCATGTTTAACATCTATACTTATAATACATTTGCAGAGAGGTCAATTCTGTACATGAAATATACACATTTCCAAAATAACTATCAGGGGATGATTAGTGATCGATACTAATGCCAAAGATAGAATCAGTAAAATGTTTGTCTGCCTGTATGTTCCTTATATAAACAAGATTCTAACGAAACTTCGTACAATAATTATTCATACTCCTGGGGAGGTTATAGTATGCTTTCCATCACGCTACTATAATAGGAGCAGACCAGTGAAGGGAAATGTTGGAAGAATGTGAGAAGTTACTCCATATTTAAGCTTCCGTCGCGTGTACAGCCTTAATGGTTAAAGCTATATAGAGATCATGTGTGACGGAACTATTCTACATAAAATTATCTAAATAATATCCCACACAGAACACGTTTATCTTTTTTGGTTGACTCACAATACAACACGCGTAACGCCCGATAGCTTAGCAGTTCGGAGCTTTCTGCTTATATTTGTTTAGTCTTACGTTCATTAAACTCTCACTCATCCATAATTAAAAAAGTTGACATTATTACCTATTCAATTAAAAAAATAATATTAGAAATCGGTACAGAAACACAAACATCAAACTTATACATGAAAATTAAATACTCTAATAAGTCATGGCGCTCGTCGTGCGGGAATTATGTTCGGTAGGGTATAATAAGGCGGGAGGTCCGAGCGCGAGCTTCATTTCATTCAATTTTTAGCTGTTGATGCGTTCTAATTGTTCGACTCTATTTACAGACAATAATTGATATAATGACAAACCGTGCATAAAAGCGCGACTAAGTGCGGGATACTGAAACGTTACTCAAATTTAAGTCGCGCTTAATTATAGTTTTGTCTCCATTAATTCTTTGTAAAATGACAAAGATAGCACGACATTTAAGCACGACTTAAATTTGAGTAACGTTTCAGTATTCCGACATTGAATTTAAATTATTTGAATTTCTTTTGTTGTCTAGATATACATAATTATAATAAAACTGTAGAAGTGAAAATTCTGTACATAGGAAACATTAAAAAAATAAATAGTAGGGAGTGTTACTGGAAAGACAGTGGAGCCAAAAATGTTAGCAAAAAAATTTCACGCATCAAGCAAAAACTACCGGGCCGATTACGACGAAACTTGGTATGATTATACTTTAATATCTTGGACTATACTTAATCCCGAAAAAGTATATACACGAAAAAGCAAACTTAATTGTGCGGCTCAACTCCTAGACACAGTTACGGTACCAAACGCAAGTATAAGTTTGTCGAATGTTAAGTTGTTAGTGGACTTTACGCTGTAACTGTAGGGCCGATGGTCGAAATTAGCTTTAACCGATATTATTATAGCGAAAATACGTGAGTTTGTGTGTATGTTTGTTACTCAGTCACAGCAAAACGACTGAAGAGATAGGGGTGTGGAACAGAGGTAGATTATAGTCTGGAGTAACACATTTTGACCTCTGGGAAAGCGGGCGAACCGGCTGGCAGAAGTTAGTAATACATATTGTTATGAACTGCTAGTTACTCCCGCGCGGTTTCACTCAGCTCATGTTGATCGCAGCGTGATATTTATAGTGTATAACCTTCTTCAATAAATGCACTATCCAAGACAAAATCTTTTTTCAAATCGGACTAGTACTTCCCGAGATTAGCGCATTCAAACAAACAAACAAACGGACAAACAGACTCTAAGCTTTATGTAATAGTTAGTACAAGATTAGTATTTAACCGATTTCCCAAAAAGGAGGCCAATATCAATCAAAAATACACACGTCATTATAAGCGCTGTTATGCGATTACTCCGGCTTTTGAGGACGAATTTTGATGATTAGGTATGTTTTTGTTGTAAAGGTTGTACTCTCTAGGTGGTCTCATTTACACCAGGTCAGGATCTGATGATGGGACCCAGTACACCAAGGAGAATTTAAAAAAAAAACAGGAGCAACTAGTGCGATTGTTTATGTTTTTTTTATTAAGTATTTAAAATTAATTATTACATTTTGGTAAAGTTACAGTATTGCCCATGTGTTTGGGTTTTAATTATTTTTATTGATGAGAACTTCACACTTAGATGGAGTATGATTATTATTAAAGGTCTGATGATGAAGTAATATGATAGCTAAGGGAACTCCTTAACGGTTGACAGTAGCTACCTGGTGTTTGGGCATGAACAATAATTGGTATTGATGAGACCTTTACATCCATGTGGATACGTAGTATACCGGGTCTGTATATTTAGTCTTGTATTAAATTAAAAAGTGAAAAATATAAAAAACGACTTCAAAACCCCAAAACTAAAAATAAGCAGAAGGTGAAAACTAAAATGCTAAAAATTGACGATTATTAGTCGTACGTAATGATAAATTAGGAGGACCCACTTGTTGGTAGTTTAGAGGTGGGTTCTACAAGCCCATAACAAAATCTTACTTACTATCTAACTAGTTAGCAAATCTTTACAGCAATTATGTTTGTTAATCTTGGCAAGTGCAAGAAGGACAACCAAATGATGAAGCCGGCGTGGGAACCTCGACAAGCAGTGAGCAGAATGCAGTGGTACCTGACTAGCTTTGATAGGCAAGAGGATCCATTCAAGACGACGGCTGCGCCGTTAACGACCAAAAAGCCTAAAAAAAAGTCATAAAATATATAGATTTCGTAATCAAATAGAAAAAAATATTTTTCTTCAAAACTATGGAATCTATAGGCAGCGATGTAATACATGATTATTCTGCCTTTTAACACCAAATAAACATTTTATTTATTTATGAACAAAACGTTAGGAGGATGTCTTCATCTTGACTAGTAACTGCAATATTTGAAATCTCTCGAGTTCCGGTTTATGAAAAAACTACTTACACAGGGTTGAATATAATAATATAAATCCTTGAAAACCCACAGTATTTCTCAAACAGGGACTTAGCGCTGCAATGACGAGCGAACCCAGCCCTCGGCTGCGACAGTCGTTGCTGCCATTCCGCCATCAGATCGCGCCGGAGCTCATCCCGCCACGCACTAATCTGGCGCGGCAGCGGAGTTTCGCCCCGGCGACGTTACTTTGCGAGTAAACAAAATACGCGCGAACATGGGTTATGCTTAAAAGATAGGAAGTTATACAAAAATAAGAATAACAAGAAGAATGTGGCAGCAGCAGCAGCATGCAGGATACACAAAGCCAAGCACACCAGAAGTAATATAAGGTGGGTACTCAGTATCGGCTGGTTGCGCTGGATCGCAGGCTGCTACCGCTTCAGAGTAAAGAGTAAAGTTTAAAGTAATGTGTTTAAACGTAAAACAAACGTCATACTACGGCCTCAGAAAAATTAAATATACATGCATTTTTTTATATTTGTTGGGCCGTCGATTGACCTCTATCTCGCCTGGTGGTAAGCGATGATTCAGTCTACGATGGAGCACGTCGTCCCATAAGCAACTTATTCACTCGAGCCTTAAAGACGGCCAGGTTATATATACCCTTCGTTGTGTCTTTGCGATCATCTTCCGTTGATATAGTTACATGTAGCTGTTATACGTTATTAATTGAAATAGATAAACACTTTTCACTTACCCTCAGCCAAAAAATAGGGCGATATAAATTCACTCGCAGCTTTCACTTAGAAAAACAAGGAAACTCAACATAAATAAGGGGAAACGCTTTCTTAACAATATATCATTCGCGCGACCCGCGGCTGTTAGGCACCTCGTCAAAACACAACACTTTTAAAGACGAACGCTGCGAACAAAAACAAACATCCGCAGTACATCAGAAAGCTATTTGTTATGTCCAAGTACTTGATAAAAGCGATGCAAATATATATTTTGCTAACCATCGACGGGTTCTTTGCATAAATTTCAGTTATGGTGAGACATTTGTCAATGGATAACGCAGTGTCGGCTATATTCATGGTTACGACTGTAACAAGCGGGCGACGACGCGGCGGGCGGCGGGCGGCCGTATCGACGCGTGCATACATCTCGTGCGACGCCGAATTTACGATAAATATGATA